ATGGCTTACTGCAAAGTTCTTAGAGAAGAGCGAAAAAGGAAAAAAAATCTCGCGCATCTGAGAAGGGAGGATCCTTGCACACTGGACGTGTGATAAGCCTAGGGACAATAAAAAGAAGAATGGTACGTAATTGCTTAATTTATTTTAATTTTCAAAGTATATCTATTCTATTTATTAACTAAAATTTATGAGTTTTCAAGAAAAGAAGTTGGGCGTCCGATGAACCAAGATGAGCTATTCAAGGAGATTCATATTGTGAAGAAGAAGAAAGAGACGGATCAAGAAAGGTGGGTCGAGGGACGAGTCTCGACTGTACATGTAAGTTTTCACTTTTCATTAAGTATTTTGATTTACTTTTATATAAATTTTGAAATACTAATTCAATATAATTTTTCTTATAGGGTCGCTTCACAACTGAAGTGGAGGAATTCATATGCAGTCAGCCACCTAATGAGTCGGGCGAGCCAATCCAACCTTCGGACGAGGATGCTGAAAGAATGTGGACGAAGGTTGCAGGCGGTCCAAAATTGGGGAAGGTATACGGGCTTACTACTATGAAATTCCATCGCTATAAGTGTGGAATGCAAGGAATAGGGACTTTCTCGCAAGCCGAGCAACTTGATGGGGAGAGCCTCTCCGTTATGCGGGAGACTGTGACAAAGCTCACATCCGAGCTAGAAGGGGACAAGGAAAGAGAAAAGCTTAGAGATGCTCAGTACATTGGCGTGGTCGCTCAGTGCCAGGGCATGCAAGAGCAACTCAAATCTCTCCTAGCTTCTGGAGGTTTTCCGATACCCCGGTCTCGTGACTCATCGCTAGAGGCTCTCCTTCCTCGTGCTCGTTCCTCCCGTCCTCCAAGTGCTCGTTCCTCCCGTCCTCCAAGTGCTCATTCCTCCCGTCCTCCCTGTGATCGTTCTTCCTGTCCTAGACAAGTAGACCCTTTTGGATACCGTCTTCCTAATGAAAGTTCATCAGACAGTGATGATAATGATGTACAAAACACTCATTGACTTTTATACACTTTGAACTAGACAAATAGAATCGATTTTTGAATGGGCTTGTAATAAGAGTTAACTTAGTTTGGTTAGCTTAATGTGGTATATCTATTGAACTTTATACTTTGTTGGTTTTAATGTTGTTTTTGTGTTGTTGTTAGTATTGTTGTTGTTGTTGTTGCTTGTAATAGGGATCTGGTATGACTGACAGGTGGTGTAGCTGCCAAAACAGGCAGTTTCTGCCAAAATAATACCCAGAAAAGCAACCAACTTTGGTCGCTTTTCTATTAAAAAATTAATTTTTTGGGAAATAGCGACCAAAGTTGATCGCTAATTAACCCAGGTTTCTCAAAAAGCGACCAACCTGGTCACTATTCCATTTAAAAAAACAATTTATGGAAATATAGCGACCAACTTTGGTCGCTTATATTTAAAAAAAAATAAATTCTTGAAATTAGCGACCAACTTTGGTCGCTAATTTTTAAAAAAATTAATAAAAAAGAGACCAACCTTGGTCTCTATTTTTTAGATTTTAAAATATAATATTAGAGACCAAAGTTGGTCGCTTTTTATGCTTAATAATAAATAAAAAAACGTATTTTACATTTAGAGACCAACTTTGGTCGCCAAAATAATATTATTAAAATAATAAAGCGACCAAAGTTGGTCGTTATAGTCTTTACCCGGAATATTTGGTCCTTTTACCTTAGAGACCAAAGTTGGACGCTAATTAGCGACCAACTTTGGTCCCTAAAATAAAGGGACCAACAATATAGCAACCAGGCATGTTTGAATGCTTTTTGGTCGCTTTTAGACCTATAAGCGACCAACTTTGGTCGCTTTTTGTGGTCGCTTTTTACCGGATTTCTAGTAGTGAATTAGGGTTTGAGATTAAGAGACTTTCAAATGATAATTTGAGGGGTCATTTGGACTCCGATTTCAGTATTCTTGGTATGTATGGACTTGTGGGGAGATAAGAAATCTATTGATGTAAAAATTATCAAATTTTGAGATGTGGGCCCGAGGGTCGGGTTTTGGTAATTTCGGGATTTATGTTGTAAATTGATTATTATCGCTTGGGCTTCGTTCCCTTAGCATATTTTGATGTCCTCGTTCTGATTTTTGATAGATTCGACGCGAGTGGAGGCCGATTCGAGGGGCAAAGGCGTCACGAGCTAGAGATTTGACCGGATTGAGGTGAGTAATGATTGTAAATGATGTTATGAGGGTATGAAACCTCAGATTGCACATCGTTGTGCTATAGTGAAGTGACACACACGCTAGATGATAAGCGTGGGATCGTGAACTATTGGAGATTGTGACTTAGTCCGTCCCGAATGACTATTTTACCGCGTATATGACTGAAATCTATTTGCTATCATCATTATTTGGGCTGAATGCCATATCTGGGCTTCGTGCAAACTATTTGAACCCTTAGGAAACTTTTATTGATATTTCCTCACTATTTTGACTTTATACTTGAACTTAGTCATGTTATATTTCACTATTTTCGTACTCAGCCATGTTTACTCTGTTTTAACACTTAAATGATCTTTTAAATGATATTTTGGGCTGAGAATCATGTTTTACTATTACCCGAGTGACTTGTGAGGATTTTGATTGAGTAAGCCCGAGGGCTTATGTTGTGAAGAAACATTTGATATTGATTATGAGGCCGACGGCCTGAGGTATGTATGCTACGAGGTGGCTTGATTGATGTGAGGTCGACAGCCTAGTGATGATGCCACGAGATGGCTTGATATTGCGCTTGGGCTGTAAGGGGCCCCTCCAGGAGTCTGCACATCCCTAGTGAGTGCGAGTACCTATTGTGATGTGAGATATAGCCTGAGGGGCTGGTATTGTTCTGAGACATTGCTCGAGAGGCGGATTTGTTGATACTGTGCCCGAGGGGCAAACCCTTATGTGTTTATTTTCTTAATTGCCTATCCTTTACATGTTTAATTGTTCAAAAAAGGTTTTCATGAAGTTTAATTGCGCTAGATGACTTTCACAAATCTTTTGCTGATTTTACTGCTTCATTATAGTCTGCAAATATGTTTTACGTGATTTCCTGCTTTCAATCTTTATTTATGGTTATTTCTCACTGAGTTGGAGTACTCACTTTACTCATTGCACCCCGTGTGCAGATTCAGGCGCATTTGGTCCCGCTCCCGAGTGCTGATCTTCCCAGCTCAGGCGGATCCGAGGAGTCTCTAGGTAGCTGTCGGCATTCGCAGCGCGGAGCTTCTCCCTATCTTATCTCTCCATGTTTTTAGTTACTGTATTAAACTCTGTAGTTTTCTTTGAGCATCCCGAATTTTTTAGATGATCATGACTAGTGACACCCCGGTATCGGGCTGTGTTGGGTTGTATTCAGTATATTATACTATCATCTTCTTAAACCTTGGATTATTTTATCATGCTTTAGACTGTTTCTTACTGTTTAACTGTTAAATGCTGAAATGGGAATTGTCGGCTGGCCTTGTCTTCACGAGAGGCGCCATCACGACCGGGTCCGGGTTTAGGGTCGTGACAAGTTGGTATTAGAGCCTAGGTTAGATAGGTCTCATGAGTCATGAGCAGGTTTAGTAGAGTCTCTCGGATCGGTACGCAGACGTCTGTATTTATCCTCGAGAGGCTGCAGAACCTTTAGGGAAAAGTTCATATTCTTGAAAATCTTGTCGTGCGAATTTGTTGATCCGAGTACTAAACTTCTGTTATTCCATTCTCTCACATATGATGAGGACACACGCTACCGGTCAAGATGGACGACCACCAGTACCACTAGCTGTGGCCACTAGAGGCTGAGGACGCGGTCTTGGTTGCGGTAGGGGCAGAGGTGTGGCCCGCACGTTAGCTAGGGCAGCACCTGCAAATCCACCAGCCATCCCAGTTCAGGATCGGGTCCAATTGTGGACGCTCCAGCAGTACCAGCTTAGGCACCAGGAGGCCTTTGCTCAGATCTTATCAGTTTGCACTGGCCTAGCTCAGGCGGTTTCAGCCACTACAGCTGCAACTACTTCTCAGGCCGGGGGAGGAAATCAGACTCCTACCGCTCGCACACCTGAGCAGGCAGGTCGTGCAGGGACTTCAGACGTCGGGGGCATATCCAGACCAGCCGATTGCAGCTGCTCAAGACTATGTAGTTCCTGCCATGCCAGAGGATGAGCAACATAGGTTGGAGATGTTTGGTAGACTTCAGCCTCCGACCTTCAGTAGTGCAGAGGGCGAGGATGCCTAGGGCTTCTTGGATAAGTGTTAGAGGATGCTTCGTACAACGGGTATTCTGGCGACCAGCGGGGTCGCTTTCATTACTTATCAGTTTTCTGGAGCTGCCTTCACTTGGTGAGAGGCTTTTGAGAGGCGTAGGCCTGTTGGTGCAGCACCCCTTACCTGACAGTAGTTCTCCATTCTCCTGGAGAAGTATGTGCCGTAGTCCCGCAGGGAGGAGCTGCGTAGGGAGTTTGAGTGGTTGCGTCAGGGAGAGATGATTGTGACGCAGTATCAGATGAGGTTCTCCGAGTTAGCTCGTCAGAGGGTGATTGGTGCTACCTTTGAGGAGGTTGTAGACATTGCTCGGGATATTGAGTTTGTTCGTCGCTAAGAGCGCGAGGAGAGGGAGGTCAAAAGGCCTCGAGGATCTAGTAGTTATAGAGGTACTCCTTCGAGAGGTCAGTTTCAGCATGGTAGAGGCCGTCCATTCAGGCATACTCAGCCAGCTCGCCCAGGTTATCGTGGGGCGTCATCGAGTCATGGTTCTTACAATTCTCATCAGGGCCAGTCATCACTTAGTGCCCTTCCAGCTCAGAGATCGTCCCGTGCTCCATCAGTTCAGGACTCTTCTATGCCAGGTGCCACTACAACAAAAATAGCTTTTACCGGCAATTATTCAATGGCAGTAACATTATTGCCGCTACTTTATTTCTCTAGACCAAATAATACCGGCAGATAAGCTATAGCCACAAAAAGGTACATTATTGCCGGCAATTGTAATAAATAGCCGGTGAAGGTCAATAATTGAAACATACCTTTTAGTCATATTTCAGTTCCCTCCAATTATTTCATTCTAAATGTTCCCTCTATTGGGTGAAAAATAAAATATATCTGCTCACATTGCCCTAATCATCTATTCCCTCTCTGTAAACCACAAATATGCAAAAAGAGCATCTTCCTATTTGGTCTCGTCTTCTCCATTCTACGACACAAATTCTCGAAGAGAATCAGGTTTACCGATGCTATTCTCTAATCACTTATCAATTTTAGATCTATTTTCTGCTTTGGATCTGCTTATTTATGGTTCATGATATTCTTTTTTTTGTGTGTTTATTGTTAATATTCATATGTTTATGTAGATTTAACTGTGACATATTACATTTATATTGTTAATTGGAATCTCTACTAAAATTTGAGAGCAAAATCGGGGACTGAAATTTGAGAGTAGTTACAATCCACGATTTTTTGATTGCTTTGAGTAATTGAGAAAGAAAAATAAATCTTGTATCCAACACTTTTGCTTCTCGGTGTTTCTCTTAGAGCCAAAAAGCTTCAAAGTTTTATATGTCATTTTAGTCGAGCATTTTCGCAGCTAACCTATTTGTGAAAATGCCAGTAAGACTACTTATCAAGAAATAAGTTAGAATCTTAATTGTGGAAGCACATATTGCTACTGCTTTTGGCATGAAATGAGTACTTATTTTCTTACAGCAATTTTGAACATTAAGTAGATGGGAATTGTCCTGTTATTCTTAAATAGTGCTTGCATGGCATAGGAGGTGCATAGCCGATAACACTATCATGAAATTCTATTTTTTTCTGTCTAATTAGTATATATTAGTTGCGCTATTATTTGAAGGGCATTTCAAATGGATTACACTTGATCTTAAATAAGATGACTTTCATCCTGCTGTTGTTGCCTTAATTCTGATGTCATTTTCTATGTGCAATTGAATAGGATGGCTCGGGAATTGGTGGATTGCTTGGTGCAAATTGATGGATTAAATACAAGCGTGATAAATTGATCAATTCATTATGTGCATTTCTGTTTATAACTTTTATTCTCTCTCTCTCTCTCTCTATATCTCTTTTATTCTACAAATTTGTGATAAAATGTTTTCATGTACAAGATCCTCAGGTATTCCTTTTATTAATAAACTAGAATGAACCAAGTCTCAGAAGGTGGATGGTGTTAATCTAACGGTTATTATTGCGTGAGCACCAGTTTTTGTGCCATTTGATTTTGCAACTTGAACTATCTTGTAATATCTCAAAGCTTAGTGAAAGTATTGCAATTGATGAGCTTAATAAATATCATCTGCTTTGTCAAAAGAAAATTTAAATATTTAATTAATGTTGTAAATTAGATTTATATTGCAAAACAACATTTCATTATATCTGAAATGGCAACTCTTGAATGAGGCTTCCTTTTTCCTCAGTTCTCACTTCAGATAGTATGTATTCCACCCCCTTTCCTCCCTAATTTAAAGGTTTGAAATCCTGTTAATCCATTTGTCTTGCTTCTATTTTGAGCTTGAAAGATGGGATATATAGGCCCACAAGTTTTTCGCTACTGGAAGTTCACATTGGTGCTTAATATTAATATCTTTTCCAATAGGTCACTGCCTGTTCCAGATGCAACTCAAGGAAGGGTCATAAGACAACCGAGGAAGCAAATATGAATCTTATGAAAGAACCTAAGGTATTACTAATTCTTATCATAGTAGCTTCATAGCTCCAGGACTGTGGCAAAGCTTCTTAATTGGAAACAACTTTATATATGTTATAGTTTTCCTTATTTATTTTTCCTGATTTATTTACTTGTTTATCGTTATCCCTTTTTATGTTTCTTCTCTGAGATGGTTTGGGGTTGTGAAGTATCATGTTTAACAAAAAGGGTCAGCAGAAATGGCAGTACTCTTGTTGAAGTATCATGTTTAGCAAAAAGGGTCAGCAGAAATGCTAGTACTCTTGTTTTACCAGATAAAAGGCTGCCTAATTGTGATCTTGTAGGCCCCTAAAGAGTATGGCATTCTTGCTATACCTTTGACCAGCTCGGCTATAAAAATATTAAGATCGAAAAAGGGACACCGGAGGAGTGGCAGCAGTATTTATCAATGCCGTCAGCATCCCCTTAGTAGCAATGTTAGGATGCAGCTTGTAAATTCTCTTCCTTGTGTAGAAATGATAGCAGTCGGAAATTCAATCTGAAATACCAAGACTCAGTTGTACCTCTTTGTACCTATAAATGTTTCTCTTCACCCCTACGTGGTTGTATATATGATAAATGCTCAAAGGCTCTAGAAAACCATTGGAGTTTCTAGTAATTGGTAGTATGCATAGGTGATCTTACTCACTGTTATCCTCCATTGAAGCAATGACAAATAAAAGGAGATCTCGACTTGATCCTTTATAGTTGCACAATATAGTTGAAGGTGCATTCTCTCCTCTAAATAAAAAAATGTGTGAAGGGACCAAGATTAGTTTTAACTTTTTGGGATAGAGCTATTAATCTTTTTCAGTTGTTTCTCGTTTTTATTGTATACTGGATTTGTCCCTTCTCGCTCTTTCTAAAGTTGAGCAAATAGATAATTTTTAGTTTCGTGTCATATATTTTATTCGTTTTTTTAATTGTGAGATTTTGTTCTGCAGCTTCCTCCACTTTTGATGCTTTCTACTACAAATGCAACATTTGGAGGTATGGCATAGATTGTATCTTTTTGCTGAATATAAAAGTTTTTCTTTTGTCGTCTTACAGTGATCGTGTCGTTATTCTATCTGCAGTATTGAAATAATCTAGCAGAAACTACTTATATTCCATCTACCCTTTTATATTATTTCAAACTCTACTAAAGAGGTTTACTTAGACATTAGGCAACTGTAGGCTAGTTAGTGTCAATTTGTAGCTTGAGAATTCATTGCAACGTCTGAACTATAATTCAAGCAACTGTTGAAGATTAACTAAATATCAGGAGATTAGAGATACAAGTAAATTATTAGACTAATCTTCCTAAATAGTGGTGAGTCTCCTGAAAAGAATTCCAAATCTTGATGAGTTTACTGCAAATCATGTTCTATCTGCTTTGTAATTTCCTTTAAACACAAAATACTTTATTGTCATAAAAAAAGTTTTTCAATGAAGTAAAGCGTTCCAAAAGAACTTATAGTGCAATAGGCACTTGACTTGAATTGTTGAAGTCATATACTAATTTTTCCTAAGCTTAATGGATGACTGACTTTGCTACTAGTATTGATTTTAAGGAATCTCTTCTTTTTATATTTTTCTTGAACTTCTGACTATCTAAGATAAAGGGTTTTACTTGATATCGGGTCTAATAAACAGTAGGATAAATTTCTTTGTAAAGACCTTGAATTACTACAAGGTCGTGGAAGCTTACAAGGTTAGTAGAAGCTCCTCTTTTAGCTTTAGCATATTTTGATCGACTCTGAGTCAACTCTTTTTACCATAAGTCACGAGAAGTAGCTAAATATCCCAATAGTAGCTGCAATATATTATCATGGAAAACAGTAAAGGTAAAAGTGGAAGATTGATATAGAAAGATGACTAATAATAGTCAATAACACGTCAAATAGTTAGTATGTTACTCCTAATGTTAATTATTTGCCATAACAGTTGTCCAAGTAGTTGCAAAATGTTTTTGGTGATTGGGTGGAGAAAATCTTGATGCTTATTAATAAAGAGGGTGTTATCTCGCATGGATTAGGTTCTGTTTGAGCACTTGTACGGATGATAATATTATAACTTGGTAATAAGACTATATTCTATTACCTAACCATGCTATTGAAATTTAGTTTGTTTTATAATTGCAGGATTATATTATGGTATTCAGAGCTTTCACGTGTGAAGGCTCCAATAATCAAGAGTTGGAGAAACTTTAATGTGTCATTTATCTTATAATATTGTAGCTACATAGAGAAGCGTTGTAGCTATTTGATGACATCAGTTATTAAATACCAATTGACTGGTTATTAGATTCAAATAGTTTACTTGTTTTGTCTTTATGCTATTGACACTTCTAAAATTACGCTTGTTGTTGATTTAATGAAGTGTATTGAGCCTTTTAAAATTAATCTTATTAGTATTAGTTTTCAATATGAACAGACATGATGAACGAATATTAGAAATTATAAAAATTGATAATAATTTTTATTAGCAATAAAAAAAGTCACTAAAATATTTAGCAATAAAATGAATCTTTTATTGGCCATAATAGAAAGCCATCAAAAACACGGATAAAAGCAAATTTATAAATAGTTTATAGTGACCATTATAATTGTTGCTAAAAAGGTTATTTTTACTGACAATTAATCGTGTCTTTACTGGCAATAATAAAAGCCACAAATTATATGACAGAGAAAATTTAGTGGCAATTTAATTGCCGCTATATAATAGCCAGTAAAACTCATGAACTTTTAGCTGCAATAATAGAGGCCTTTACCAGCACTCGTTATAATAGCTGCTAAAACCTTTAGCGGCGCCGGCTAAACCGGCCATTACTTAATTGCTGTTAAAAGTTTTTGCGGCAATTCTATTGTCGCTAAAGAGATAATTAATTGCAGCTAAAAGCTATTTTTGTTGTAGTGTGCATCTTCTAGTCACTCCGGTGTGAGGGGTTCCCTTCAGTCCCCTTCTCCAGCACCTAGGAGTTGTTATGAGTGTGGTGAGATGGGTCATATGTGGAGGAAGTGCCCTCGTCGTCTTGCGAGTTCATCTCAGCAGAGGGGTCAGTCATCGGCTTCAGCGCCAGTTACTTCACCACCACCCGCCCAGCCAGTTAGGGGTGGAGGTCAGTCAGCTAGGGGACGCCCCAGAGGGGGAGGTCGATCAGGTGGCGGTCAGGCCCATTTCTATGCACTTCCAGGCAGACCCGATGCTATTGCTTCAGATGCTATTATTACAGGTATTGTTTCAGTCTGCCACAGAGATGCCTCTGTATTATTTGATCCCGGTTCCACCTTTTCTTATGTGTCATCATACTTTGCTGGTTATTCGGGTATGCCACGTGAGTTTCTTGCTTTACCTGTTCATGTATCTACCCCGGTGGGCGATACTCTGGTTGTAGACCATGTGTACCGGTCGTGTGTGGTGACTATTGGGGGTCTAGGGACCCGTGTGGATCTTTTATTATTATGTATGGTGGATGTCGATGTCATTTTAGGCATGGATTGACTATCTCCGCGTCGTGCTATTCTGGACTGTCATGCTAAGATAGTCACATTGGCTATACCGGGTGTGCCACAGATTGAGTGGCGAGGTGTGAGTGATTATGTTCCTAGTAGAGTGATCTCATTCCTAAAAGCCAAGCGTATGGTTGGGAAGTGTTGTCTTTCGTATCTAGCCTTTGTGAGGTATGTCGGTGTTGGGACTCCCAGTATTGATTCTGTTCCAGTTGTAAGGTATTTTCCCGATGTGTTTCCTACAGACCTACCGGGCATGCCACCGGACAGGGATATTGATTTTGGTATTGACCTGCTGCCAGACACTCAGCCCATTTCTATTCTGTTGTATCGTATGACACCAGCAGAGTTGAAGGAATTTAAGGAGCAACTTCAGGAACTCCCTGATAAAGGGTTCATTCGGCCTAGTATGTCACCTTGGGGTACGCCGGTTCTATTTGTGAAGAATAAGGATGGCACTATAAGGATGTGCATTGATTATAGGCAATTGAACAAGGTAACAATTAAGAACAAGTATCCTTTGCCTCGCATTGATGATTTATTCGACCAACTTCAGGGAGCGAGAGTGTTCTCCAAGATTGATCTCCGTTCAGGTTATCACCAGTTGAAGATCAAGGACTCGGATATTCTTAAGATAGCTTTCAGGACTCGGTACGGTCATTATGAGTTCTTGGTGATGTCTTTTGGGATGACCAATGCCCTAGCAGCGTTCATGCATTTGATGAACAATGTGTTTTGGCCTTATCTCGACTCGTTTGTCATAGTCTTCATTGATGATATTCTGGTGTATTCGCGTAGTCAGGAGGAGCACGCAGAGCATTTGAGAGTTGTGTTGCGGAGATTGAGGGAGGAGAAGCTTTATGCAAAATTCTCCAAGTGTGAGTTTTGGCTTAGTTCACTGGATTTCTTAGGGAACGTGGTGTCCAGCGAGGGTATTCAGGTTGATCTGAAGAAGATAGAGACGGTTCAGAGTTGGCCCAGACCATCCTCAGCCACAGAGATTCGCAACTTTCTTGGTTTGGCAGGCTATTATCGCCGATTTGTTCAGAGATTCTCATCTATCGTATCGCCCTTGACCAAGTTGACTCAGAAGGTTGCTTCATTTGTATGGTCGGACGAGTGTGATGAGAGCTTTCAGAAGCTTAAGACAGCCTTGACCACAACTCCAGTGTTGGTTCTGCCATCAGCTTTAGGTTCATATATCATGTATTGTGATGCTTCGAGAGTTGGTATTGGTTGTGTTTTGATGCAAGAAGGTAGAGTTATTGCTTATGCTTCCCGTCTGTTGAATCCCCATTAGAAGAACTACCCCGTTCATGATTTGGAGTTGGCTGCCATAGTTCACGCGTTGAAGATTTGGAGGCATTACTTGTGTGGTGTGTCTTGTGAGGTGTTTACTGATCATCGTAGCCTCCAGCACTTGTTCAAACAGAAGGATCTCAATTTAAGGTAGCGGAGGTGGTTGGAGTTGCTTAATGATTACGATATCACTATATTGTACCATCCGGGAAAGGCCAATGTGGTGGCCGATGCCTTGAGCCGAAAGGCAGTGAGTATGGGGAGTTTGGCATATATTCCAGTTGGGTAGAGACCTCTTGCAGTTGATATTCAGGCCTTGGCCAATCGGTTCTTGAGGTTAGATATTTTGGAGCCCAGTCGGGTATTGGCTTGTGTGGTTTCTTGGTCTTCCTTATATGATCGCATCAGAGAGCGCCAATATGATGATCCGCATTTGCTTGTCCTTAAGGATAAAGTTCAGCACGATGATGTCAGAGATGTGACCATTGGTGATGGTGGGGTGTTGAGGATGCAGGGCCGGATTTGTGTGCCCAATGTGGATGGGCTTGGGGAGTTGATTATGGAGGAGGCCCATAGCTCGCGGTATTCCATTCATCCGGGTGCCGCGAAGATGTATAGGCAACACTATTGGTGGAGGAAAATGAAGAAAGACATTATGGGATTTGTAGCTCGGTGTCTTAATTGTCAGCAGGTGAAATATGAGCATCAGAGACAGGGTAGCTTGCTTCAGCGGATGGATATTCCAGAGTGGAAGTGGGAGAGGATCACTATGGATTTTGTAGTTGGAGTTCCATGGACTTTGAAGAAGTTCGATGCTATTTGGGTGATTGTGGATCGGCTGACCAAGTCTGCGCACTTCATTCCTGTGTGTACTACCTATTCTGCAGAGCGGTTGGCAGAGATGCTATATCCGGGAGATTGTTCGTTTGCATGGTGTCGTAGTTTCCATCATTTCAAATAAGGTCACTCAGTTTACTTCACAGTTTTGGAGGTCTGTGTAGCGAGAGTTGGGTACTCAGGTTGAGTTTATCACACCTCCTTTTTACCTACACCCCCGGAAGGGTGGTATATAAGAGAGATTTTCCAATTAAAGGATAATCGAATCGGGATTATTTATTAAAGATTCAGAGTCGCCACTTGGAAGATTTATGGTGTCCCAAGTCACCGGTTGAATCCCGAATCGAGGAGAAGATTGACTCTGTTTAACAGTCAACGAACCAGAAATCCGGGTAAGGAATTATGTTAACCCGGGAGAAGGTGTTAGGCATTCCTGAGTTCCGTGGTTCTAGCACGGTTGCTCAACTGTTATATTCGGCTTAATTATCTGATTTTAAACAATTGTGAACCTATGCAAATTTTAACTTTTTAACCGCTTTTATTCATTTTTTAGAGAAAATTGCAACGTCATTAAAACACGTCTTAAACCACGTCACATAAATGCACCTGTGGTCTTTGACATATTTTAACATCATTGTGATTTGGATTTGGGTCACATAAATGCGCACCCGAATTTAGGAAAGTAATATCATTAAACTAACGTGCCTAAAGCAATTTCGCGTTTGCAACTTTGCTAGGGCCATAAAAATTCGCTAAATGGCATGACTCGATTTCTAAGGATAAACAAAATTAATTAAGTGAGGGCCGTGCATTTTAAGATTTTATTTGGCATGGCGCACCTCATTCCCAATTTTAAAGGGAATAGTTGATTAAGGAAAAACCTAAAGGACTTCAAATTACCCTTGTGCTTAAGAGTTCAAACTTAATTCATTAAACAGTGGACTCACAATAAAGCGAGATACGGTGTACTTAAAAACTTGGGCCTAGCGTGAGGCCCAAGATCCTACAAAGTGCTAGACTACCTAAAAAACGCCAATCTCACAACAGTCCACGCCGGGCCCAAAAAGAGAGCCCAAGCTTGAGAATGGACCAGCTTCAACAAACTGGAGACTCAAGATTGAGTCCTCACATGGCACAAAACATCAAGACATTCAAATTTATAGTTGCAAAATATATTGTTGCATGAAAATTGAAACAAATACTGTTAGTCTTTTACACAAATACCAAAGCATATTTAACGTCAATTGATCTCTCATCATACAATGATCCCTTTTGTTATCTATCATTCATTACCATTGTCACTTCTAACCAACATCATGCCTATCCTCAAAATGACAGGGAAATGGAGAACATTTACTGATCTATACTCCAAAAGAGAGGTTATATTTCAGCCTTTATTGGTAAAGCTCACAATCAAGAAATCAACACCAAACAAACCACTGACTTCAGCTGAACTAACACAGATGTAACACATACAACTTGACTGAAAATATTTCGATGCTAACTCATGTAAACCAAAGGAGCTAAACTCATAATTTATCCCCTAGTACCAACCAGATTCAACAGGTAAAGACAGAAATGAGCGAACATGACAAAGAAATCCAAATTGACTACAGAGTTTGATAAACACGTAAGAGGACAATACTTAATAAACTAACCTGTTCTAGATTTTGATTTCATTCTATTCATTGATAAGTATACTAAGTGGAATATTTCTAAAGCTAAGTATTACATGCTGTGCATGAAGTTGAAAGAAG